CACAACCACTGCCTGGCCGAGGGGACAGAAACATGAACTCATACTCTGAACACAGGAGCTATGATCTAAGCACTCGTTTAATATTGTCAGTTAACAATTACTCCATTTTGCTCATTAAAGCAGTTCCCTAAGGATGCTTACTGGGCAAAACGTCATAGGCATGACTTTAACTCCATCAAGATGTGTGCCAATGTATATTGCATGGCACACTTCTGGTCTGTGTCTACCAAATCTGATGGTAGCCTCATCAGCCAGGATTTTCTTTGAGGTTATGCTTAGAGTTTTTCAGACTAGCTCCTTTTCCTCATGGTTTCTGCTTGAACAGAGACCAGAAGTCGTTTGCTGGTGTACTCTTTCTTATCCTGTGGTTATATTTGGTTTCTCCTGACTTCCTTTCCAACCCTGTTAATAATAAAATGTTAACAGGCTGCACCACACTTCCACATACCACACAACTATAGAGCATAAAAATATGGCAAGCACTGAATTATTCAGTAGGAAGATATTCTATATCCCAGATACAAAGTTGTTAGCTGGGATGACGTATATGATGTCTGTCCTTGTTTAGTTCTCCTTGGGGACTGCAAATCTGCTGCCAGGAGCTGTCCAGCCCATCTTTTTTTTTTTAGATTTTTATTTATATCATGTATACTGTGTTCTGCCTGGATGGATGCCTGCAGGCCAAATGAAGGATCCAGAGCTCATTGTGGATGGTTGTGAGCCACCATGTGGTTGCTGGGAATTGAACTCAGGGCCTCTGGTAGAGCAGCCAGTGCTCTTAATCACTGAACCATCTCTCCAGCCCATCTTAAAGAAGGCACAAGCTGCTCTTTCAGGCAGGTGAAAAATCTCCCATATGTAGCCTTTTCCAATTTTGTTACTTGTTCTTCCCACACATGAGAACCACCACAATAGGTGACTCTGCCATGATTTCGTGGACCCTCCCAAGCTTGGATCAAATTTGCCAGTTTTTGAATAATGTTGTTCCTGACATGAGGAATTACTTTGCCTACTCCTTCAATAAGGAAAGGGCATTATAGTCATAATCTTTGGCTACCTTCCTAGGCTTAAATGCAGACAAGTGCACTTTCTTTAATGCTGTTAAAAAACTTGAAAATTACTGTCTCTTTTCCAAGAATGAATTGCCATAAGAAACTAACAATGCTCTTTTCTTTAACACAACAGAGACTTTCATATCTTCCTCCTTGCTTCGTTTTCACTGTAGCCCTGAAGGAGTAAATAGTAATAACCATAAACAGAAGCAATATTTTATCTAAGACATTATCCCATTACTATTAATCTCAGCCTTATTCAGTTTCTTGGGACCTGTATAGATTAAGAAACATTTGGGTCCAAAATAGCACACTGAAGAACTGTAGCTAAATTTTTCATGAAATCTTCTCAGAACCTGTGCTTACTTGCCAGGCCAAGATAACCCAATACAGTCCAAAAGGAATGAAGCCAGGCTTGGCCAAGAGGGCCACAGGAAGACAAGGATTTGAATGTTTTATTGAGGGGAAACAGACTTTTTATATCTTTATCAGGAACATAAGAGTGGCAATTTCCGGGGACAATACCATTGTAGTTGCCAGGATAACATGAAAATTTCATGCCATCCAGGGTAAATAAGATTAATGTCTTAGAATAATTTTCTTGTTAAGCTTTCATAATTCTTTGATTACTAATTAATCATATACAGAAATACAGATTATCCTGAATGCTTCAATGACTGATGGAAAGCATCAGTTCTTCAGGAACCAGAAGGTACATTGTATCCCAGGAGAAATCGGCTTTAGCCTGAATATCCTAAGACACATATCTCTCAATCTAGGTATATGAGGCCAACTGCATGGTGCCCTGAAGAGAATTTACCCACTGAAATTCTGAACATAACCATCAGGATCTGCCATTACCCTGACATTCCCATATTTGTGTCCTACAACAACAGCCAATTAAGCACTAAGAAGACCATTTATGGCTTTTGCCATTTAGAGTCTGGATACTGTCAACTTCTTGCAAAAGTCAATATCCCCAGGTCCCCTGAGATAATTGGGAGCATGGCAGGTGGAGAGAGGTAGTTATGAGGATGAGAAGATGAGAAGAGGAGGGTAGAGGAGGAATTGAGGAAGCAGAAAGGAGGAGTCGGGGGAAGAATATAGGAGATCAAGAAAAGAAATACCAAAAAAGACACAGCCATTTTAGGTTTAAA